GGTTCAACCTGTACAATTATTTCTGTAAGAAAGTCAAGATGTTAGAGTGAATTGTTTTAAATTGTCAACTACAACACATTTGTTCACTTTCCTCCCTGTGGAATTTAATGATGAGGACCACAGTGCAGATCTAAGATAAATATCTACATAAAGGCAGATAAAGTGGAAGCTTTAGTTAATGAGCTATGTTTCAAGCTTCTACTACATGGAAGCAAAAACAGATTTAATGTAAGACTTGCACAGGTTACTTTTGTAAGAATAGAAATAAAAATACAAGTTAGTAAAAATTGTATGTTAAGTAGTAAGAAAGCATTTAAAGCTTCATTCTTCCAAGTTCTATTAAGTGTTTCTACAAAGAGGTCATCAGGGAAGAGAAAGCCATCTGCTTGTTTGTTTAAAAAAAAAAGCAAGCAGTTCTCAAACTACTGAAAGGTATATTGGACAACTTTACTTCAGCAACTGATAAAATACACCAAGAAGTTACTACTATATTAGACAACAACATGTCCTGTAAAAAGTCTAGGCACATACCATTATGGTAAGGCACCCGTAAAAGTTTATATGATCAACTTTAGAATATCTTCAAACAAGTTGAAGTTATTCTACCTACTGTTACAACATGAAGATAGTTATAAGAACATAAGAATGGCCATACTGGGTCAGACCAAAGGTCCATCTAGCCCAGTAGCCTGTCTGCCGACAGTGGCCAATACCAGGTGCCCCGGAGGGGGTGGACCGAAGACAATGATCAAGCCATTTGTCTCATGCCATCCGTCGCCAGGGACACCATTTCTATGCCCTGGCTAATAGCCTTTAATGGACCTAACCTCCATGAATTTATCTAGCTTCTCTTTAAACTCTGTTACAGTCCTAGCCTTCACAGCCTCCTCTGGCAAGGAGTTCCACAGGTTGTCTATGAACTGTGTGAAGAAGAACTTTCTTTTATTAGTTTTAAACCTGCTCCCCATTAATTTCATTTGGTGTCCTCTAGTCCTTATATTCTGGGAACTAATAACTTCTTTTTTCGCCCTCTCCACACCACTCATGATTTTATATACCTCTATCATATCCCCCCCTCAGTCTCCTCTTTTCCAAACTGAAGAGTCCCAGTCACTTTAGCCTCTCTTCATATGACCCGTTCCAAACCCCTAGTCATTTTAGCCAAATCCCTAATCATTTTAGTTGCCCTTTTCTGAACCCTTTCCAAGGCCAAAATATCTTTTTTGAGGTGAGGAGACCACATCTGTACACAGTATTCAAGATGTGGGCGTACCATAGTTTTATACAGGGGCAGTAAGATATTCTGGGTCTTATTTTCTATCCCTTTCCTAATAATTCCTAGCATCCTATTTGCCTTTTTGACCGCCGCTGCACTCTGTGTGGAAGTTTTCAGAGAACTGTCCACGATAACTCCAAGATCTCTTTCCTGATTTGTCGTAGCCAAATTAGCCCCCATCATACTGTACGTATAGTTGGGGTTAATGCATGTTGAAAAAAGTACTTCCATTTCTTGAAATATGCTTTTTACACATGGTGGTTAAGCCACGGTGACTCTTTTTTAGGTCTCTTACTATGTTTTTTAATTTGGGGTATACATTTAAGTTGTAAAATGAAAGACTAGATATTTATTAACCGGTTTACTTTAAGCAGAGCTATGAGTATAGGTAGTGAAAGAAAACTGAATAAGGAAAGTGCCATACATCATTTGTGTTGCTCTCCCCCATACAGTATATGTAAATATTTTAAACAAAAACTGAGACACTCCTGAAACGCAGTACCTAAAATTACTTTTAACATTTAAGTTGACAATGTACCCTTTTAAACAACATGGAATCAGAGGGAGAAATTTAAAACCACCACCAAAATCCACATATATACACCAGATAGAAGACTTACGAAAAATATAGTTGATGTTCTACTGTGGAAATTTAAGGTGAAGTTGGAGTTAAATTTCTAGGTATTATCCTGCCACAGGATCCCAATATTTATACCTAACTAGACCTCCCAATATTTTTAGACTTAACATGTAAGCTATTCCTGCAACAATTTTTCCCTAAATACGGAGTACAGGTTGTACCTCCCTCATCTGGCACCCTCAGGACCTGACTGCTCCCCGAACAAAGGCATTTGCAGAACAAGGGGAGGTCCCTCCCAACATGGCCTATGTTGTCCCCAGCTACTCCCCAGACAGGGCTCCCCAGGTTGGGGCTGCTGGGGCTCTGTGGCTGCTGCTGGCCCCCTGCTACAGCCTGGCAGCCAGACCTTCCTGCTGCACCCCCTACCTCAACACAGGGCTCCTGGTTGAGTCACACCCCTCCTCCCCCACTCTTGCCCTGCAGCCCAACCTCCTTATGCCTGGACTCTGTGGTCCAGGAACATCTGTAGTCCTGCTGGACCACGGATGTTGCCAGACCACGGAGTCCCGGTTAAGGGAGGTACAACCCGCACTGGAGAACCACTAAATTGTCTATAAAAGATTAGCCACCATCACAATAGATTTTAACAGGACACAAACAGGGTTTTGTTTTTCTTTTAAAAAAAGAAGCGCACAGCTTTCTGTTTATTCCCTCCCCAACAGGTGCTTTAGAAAAACATGGCTAGAAGTCAAATATTGCTAAGTAGTATGTGGCAGGGCATTGCCCTGCACTGGCCCTTTAAGGGGCTGGGCACTGGAGTGAGGGAAGCCCAGCTGAGGCAGATAAGGAGGCCCAGCTGGGGGCTATAAGAGCAGATCCTAGGAGGAGGAGGAGGGCCCTGCCTGTCTGCAATGAGAGGGGCTTCAGTCTAACAAACCCAGGCTACCCAGCCTGAGGCCCAGGGCTGCAAGGAGGCAGTCACGGCCAGGGCTCACATAGAGGCAGCCCTAAAAGGCTGGGCTGCAAGGAGGTAGCTGTGGTAGGCGGGTAGAGTGAGAGGCAGGGAAGCCCCAGGCCATAAGACTGTGAGGCAGGTTTGCAGGAGGCAACCGGGCAGGCAGAGGCACGCCCGTGGCCAGGGAGGAGGGGCCTGGGGAAACTGCAGTCTGCCTGGAGACAGGGCTAGAAAGGGACTGGCAATGGGCCACTGAGGTCAGGAGGGTGCAGCAGAACTGGGTGTTCCAGGGAAGAACTAGGGGACCCAGGGAGTATGGAGGACCTTGGAGGAGGACCAAAGCAAGAACAAGGACTCCTCTCTCCCCCCGATGGAAGGGGGAACAGACTGAAAGTGGAGTGGTCACTGCCAGAGGGCAGTGACCTGAAGAGAACTTCCCCCCCCCCCCCCCCCACCCCATGAACATTTTAAATTTTGAAATGGGAAGCTCATACATATTTTCAGTTGTCTCATTTCTTAAAAAAATATAAAGGGTTGAGTTTTTAAAAATTCAGTCATTTTGTACCACTCTGTACTTTCCTTTTGCAACGCTGAGAAGTTGAAAGTCCAACATGTGTTGGGTTTCTAGAGTCAATTTTCCCCCCCCCCCCCCCACCCCATGAACATTTTAAATTTTGAAATGGGAAGCTCATACATATTTTCAGTTGTCTCATTTCTTAAAAAAATATAAAGGGTTGAGTTTTTAAAAATTCAGTCATTTTGTACCACTCTGTACTTTCCTTTTGCAACGCTGAGAAGTTGAAAGTCCAACATGTGTTGGGTTTCTAGAGTCAATTTTAATGCTATTATACTGCTACTCCAGGATCCCCACCAAGATCTCTTTTACATTAGATCAGTACCAGATTTCAGAAACAAAACACACATGGAAAGAAGAACCACTTACTAGCTGCTGTCGCAACTGGCTGGGCAATGTTCAGAGGTGGCTTTAATTTCATTAGTTTGTTAAGACTATTATTTTTGAGCAGATCTTTCAGATGGACCCGATCTTTTGAAGGTGTAGTGGTCAAGGCATTGCGTACTGCTGGTGCTGCAACTGATGGTTGAGTAGTTGTGCTGGTTTGAATGATTTTTGCTACAGTGATGGTCTGCCTAGTAGTCATCATAGGTGTGGTTTTTGTCATTACTATTGTAGTCTCCAAAGTTGGAAGCTGATTTATTTGATTCAGCACAAAGGTTGTGGTTGACGGTGTTTGCTAGCAACAGAAAAACAAAAATGTAAGATTGTCCTGTTTTGGGAATATAATCATGATGATTCTCAAAGTGACAGTACACAAAAAGCAAAACTTGTGTTATATGCAGCTCACCTAGAGGATTGGAGGAATCAATTTTAGCAGAATTTAAGCAGTGTGAGGGGTTTTACTCTTAAAGTTTATGGACTCTCAATATTCTCTTTCCATCACACAACTAACTGATACTGAATATTTTATTTCAGGGTGTGGAAATCTGCACAAAAAAGTGTCTTCCAAAATGCATTGAATGTTGCTTCACAGGAAGATCCAGCGCCAAAGGATTTTTCCCCCAAAGTGAAGAGGAAAGAAAGTATCTCACCAGCTAGATAAAGTACATCTGCTATGTGGAGACACTTGGGTTGTAGAGAAATTTTACATACTGCACAACATGGTTTTACAGTTAGTTTATTTATACACTGACTTTTAAAACTCCTTTTTCTGTACAACTGTTAACCCTACCTTCCAGATATTGATCTCCTTCATATAATCACACAGAAAGATATGAACAAGATAATCTATGTTAACAGATATTCTGCTGAATGCAGTTAGACTTCTCAGACTCCCAATTTAAGACAAGATAGGATACCTAAAAGCATCAGGCTGAATGGCCTCTATATTCTAAGTGTACTCATAAGACATGGAATTGGACTCTTCCTTAAACAACTGTTCCCTCTCACACATCACACCAACCCTTCAGAAATGAGTTTTAGTGAGAAAGTAGGGAAGGAATTTTTGAATATTCTAAATTATACTGATGGGATGGCAAAGAGCTAACAATTCATAGGCATTCCTCAATTGTTCACGTCACTATTTTACGGATACAAAACTCTAAATAGGTCAGCTCTTACCCTAACATTTAATAGTGTTGGAGTAGATACAGTCTCTGGCTCTTGTTTAACAGCAACTGTTGCCTCAGTCTCCAAGCCTAGTACTAACGCACTAAGTAGCACTAACTAGAGAGAAAGAAAGCAAGCACGATCAGGTACTAGTTTTAGTAGAGGGGAAAAAAAATGAAAACCTTTACTAACACCCCCCTCATATTAAACTAATATTAAACTCCTTCACTTTGCCTGTTAATCTTTCCTGGTTTCATTAGATCAAGATGGTAGCAAACAGTCATTGACTTGGCCCCCAAAATTGTTTCGGGCATAAAAACCCTTTCCAGTTAACTGCTGTGAAAGCTGAATGAGTTTTGCAATTTCATTTCTGTTGACAAACTATTGTTTTCCAATCTATATCCAAAAAAAGTGTTCCATTTTTGCAATGTGCAAGTTGTCACTGAGATAATTAATTCTTGCTCTTGTTTCAGAGGAGAGGAAAACCCACACAAGGTATACTAATAGAAGTTCTGTATGGGGATACATTGCATTGCAGCCCTAGAAAGTTGATATTGATACAAGTTCAGTCAACACTTTAGATTCCTTTTCCTAATATACACTTAAGACAGGTGATTACCAGGGCTCGACAAATGCACTTGCGCGCGGTGAGCAGATTTTTCCAACTGGCGAGTGCAGGGGCGGACTGGCCTGGTGGGCTGTTGTGACGGGCTGGCGGAAGCCTGCACTACGGGCGGCGTGGCCCCATCCGATCCGCTGGCCGTTGGAGGAGCAGAGGGCCGTTGGGAAGGGGGAAGTGTGGCGATTCTTCCCATCGGGCTGCCTGCGTGCACCTCCGGTGCGAGGAGGCGGGGCAGGATGCCAGGACACTGGTGTGACATGGCCCCGCTGATTTCAAAGGGCCACGGCAGCTTGGCTCTGGCCGTGTGTCCCTGGGAGCTGACTGCGGCGCACGGCACAGCCAGGGCCTGCCCCTCCAGCTCCAGTCCTGCTACGGCCCCCGGCCC